TGGATCTCTGTGAGTTCGAGGCTAGCCTGGGCTACAGAGTGACTTCCAGGAAAGGCCAAAGCTACACAGAGAAACCCTGTCTCAAAAAACAAAAACCAAAATAAGTAAATAAGTAAGTAAGTAAATAAATAAATAAATAAATAAATACCAGCAAGTCAATAGTCAATATAAACTATGACAGGCATGTTCATATCCTTCTTTTCTGACACACAATTATCTCATGCTGTTGTGTGATAGTTTTCTTAGGGAGACATGTCACAAACACACTCTGACTGATAGGGACAGTGACAGATCAAAATAAGGAGACCACTGAAGTCTAACCTAGTGAATCAGTAGTTTATTGGCGTTCCGAGAGATTAGTCACAGGAGCAGGGATGACTCAAAGGCAGCTATGACACCAAAGCCCACCCAAACCTGGGCAATGGCTCATGAAAGCTGGAACCCTGGAGCTCCCTCCCTGCACAGCTTGTAAGCAGCTTGACAGGTCAGAGAGTCTCTTCCAGGCAACTCTGCTGGTTTAAGAGCATCTCAGCAGTCCTGATTGGCTTATATGACTTCAGAGAGGGAGGGGCCTTGTGCATCTGGTCAGTTTCAGGGACATCCTGAGAATTATGAGTTGTTTATTTCCCTCCTTTAATGAACCTCCCTTTAGAATCTTCTGAGTCTTAAGGAGTTTCACCTCCAGTAGTGGAATGTCTCAATTCAGGAAATTGCCACACAACACAGGCTCCTCCTCTCCTTTTCCTGCTTCAGACCATTTCTTCAAGACCTCGCCTCTCTCTAGTGTAGTATGGCTCCTGGGTTACTGCTGATAACACATCTTCCTTAGCCAGATTAGAGGTGCATGTATACTTGTGCGTGCATTCTCTCTCTCTCTCTCTCTCTCTCTCTCTCTCTCTCTCTCTCTCTCTCTCTCTCTCACTGTGGGACCCTAAGGATGCCACAATCCATGATGCTTAAATGTCCTACCAAATATTGACAAGGTATAGTCAGGTATAGAGATTCATGACTGCAATCCTAACATCTAGGAGACTGAGGCCAGGGGTTGACTTTGAGTTCCAAGTCAGCCTGGGCTGCAGAGTAAGGCCTTGTCTGTCTTATTTACTTTTCTATTGCTGTGACAAAATACCATGACTATGGCAATTTATAAAAGAAAGCATTTAATTGGGCTTACCGTTTCAGAGAGTAAGAGTCCATGAAGGCAGAGTGAAGGTATAGTAGTAGGAACAGCTGAGAGCTCACATCTGGATCTATAAGCAGGTGGCGGGGGGGGGGGGGGGGGACACGAGGACGGGGACTGGGAATGTCATGAGTCTTTTGAAAACTCAAAGCCTGCCTGCAGTGACATACCTCCACCAACAAGGCCACACCTCCCAATCCTTCCCAAACACTTCCACCAACTGGGGACCAAGTGTTCAAACATACAAGCCCATGTGGGGGGCATTTTCATTCAAATCACCATATCATCTCAAATAATATAAAGACATTTGCACCCCCTTCCCAAAACTCTGGATCACCATGTCATTTGTGACCCTATACCATGGACATACTGTACAAATAGTTGTTCTGGTCTTTTGTTTGGAGAACAATGACAAGAAATAGAAGTCTGTGCACGTTCAGTACCAATGTGTTTATCCTAAATATTTTTTATCTGTGGCTCATGGTCTCCACAGCTTCAGAGGGCCAGCTGCCCCCACTTCCATCTTTACTTCTCTGTGTGTCAAGAACTATGCATTAATCCCAGCACTTGGAAAGCAGAGGCAAGAGAGTCACCACAAGTTTAAAACCAGCCTGGTTCATATACAATGAGTTCTAGGCCAGCTAGTGCTACATAGTGAGATCAATCCAAATCAATCAAAAGAGAATTGTGGGTTTATGCTAATACCTCATACCACAGTCTGGGGAGATGGCTCAAGAGTTAAGAGCACTGGCTGCTCTTCTAGAGGACCTGGGTTCAATTCCCAACATCCACATGGTGGCTCACAACTGTCTATAACTCCAGTCCCAGGAGACCAGATGCCCTCTGCTGGCCTTCTTGGGTACTGCATGCATGTGGTACACAGACATGAAAACACTCATACATATAAAGTTAATTAATTAATCCCTATACCAAGTCAGCACCACAAGGCTCTGGCTTTTCTTGGAGGTGTATTTTAGCTTCTCTCTTCAGCACAGAAAAACCAGCCCGAGTTCCTCACCTGTGCACCTGTTTGCTAAACTCTGGCTGCAGATGGTGTGCTTAACCACCCAGTATCTGTTTCCTGGGCCCTTCCTACCCTATTCCTGCCTCTTCACCAGTGAGCTCTACCATAGCAACCAGGAATTATGAAGGGAAGAGGCCAGCAGAGGTGACTCTTTAATGAAGTGCCTGGCAGAAATGATCATCCTGTGGTTATGGTTATCTGTTCTATGGTTTTTTTTTTTATGTGTGTGTATGTTCCTGCATTTCTGATTTTATTTGTTTCTAAAAAATTAGCATGCAAATGGAATAAACACACAAAGGGGGCCCTTGGGGACACTCTCCCCAGACTGCCCATACTCAGTGCCTCTGTTTCTTCTCTTAGTGTCCATCATATTATGACCCTTGGTAGAAGAAAAAATGGTGACAGGATTCTGAGGATGCAACTTCAAACCTCCTGAATTCAAATTATCTGGGGGAGGGGGTAATGAGTCTGGATTAATTGCTCAGTGAGCCTGTAGTAACCGAGTCCTCTTTACTGACTAGAGAGCAATTAAATTAAGCTGCTACAAAATGCTGTCTCCGCAAAGCCTTCGAGGAGAGCTGATTAGCCAAATTGTGTCTTCAGTTTAAGGAGCAAAAATTCCCAGCTCAAACTGGTTGAAGCAAGCAGGGGGGACAAAAAAATAGGCCTCATTAATGTCTCTGAAAAACCCCAGGGGCAGTGTGAGGGTGGTGTAGCTCAGAGGAGTCCCAGCAGGGTCCTGTGGATTATTCCATGGGCCTCCCTGGCTCCTGGTCCCTCCCTCAGGTTCTTGTGGCTCTTCTCTTCCCTGCTCCCCTTGGAGTGCTAGCCCCAGCAGCTGTAAGAGCTAGCTTCAGCAGCTGTAAGTGCTAGCTCCAGCAGCTGTAAGTAAGTACTAGCTCCAGCAGTAAGTAAGTGCTAGCTCCAGCAGCAGTAAGTGCTAGCTCCAGCAGCTGTAAGTGCTAGCTTCAGCAGCTGTAAGTAAGTGTTAGCTCCAGCAGCTGTAAGTGTTAGCTCCAGCAGCTGTAAGTAAGTGCTAGCTCCAGCAGCTGTAAGTGCTAGCTCCAGCAGCTGTAAGTAAGTGTTAGCTCCAGCAGCTGTAAGTGCTAGCTCCAGCAGCTGTA